CCCCAAAACCCCAAAACCCCAAAACCCCAAAACCCCAAAAATGTGAAAGAAGATTGGGTATGATATTATACCTCGGATAGGGCTATTCTAGAAAATTATTATGGTCCATCGAGATTGATCCCGAAAACATAAATTCTCTTTTAGAAGCTTCCAAAGCTTCAATTTCCTCCTTTGCATGCTTGAAATTACTCCTCTTCCAAGCTAATACGAGGTTGTCCATTAGCATTGAGATTGTCATTGGGCCGACACCTCCAGGTACAGGAGTAACATATCCAGCTTGTGTTTTAACACTTTGGAAATTTATATCTCCAACTAAGCGTTTTCCACTTTTTCTAGATTGGTCTTCTATAAACTGCGTTCCAACATCGATCACGATAGCACCTCTTTTTATGAAATTTCCTTCAACAAGATAGGGGCATCCAGTTGCTGAGACCACGATGTCAGCTGTTGAAATCTCATCTTTTAAATTTTGTGTATATGTATGACAAAGTGTGACTGTTGCAAACTCTTTTTGTAAAAGCAAGGATATTGGCATTCCGACAATATTGGATCTTCCAATAACAGTTGCTTTCTTCCCTTTGATCACTGGTCAAACTGATTTGATCAATCATATTATACCTTTGGGTGTTCAAGGCGTGAAGAAGGGCTCCTCGTGTCTAGCCATAGCACCCATGTTAAGGGGATGAATTCCATCCACATCTTTTTCATGCGATACAAGGTCTCAAATCTGCGTACTGTTAAATTTTTCAGGAAGAGGCAGCTGGACAAGGATCCCACTAACAGAAGGATCTGAGTTGAGCTCTTTGACGTACTCCTCAATCTCCCATTGGGATCAGGATTCATTAAAATTTCGGCCGATAGTGTCTATTCCGACTTGTTTTCAGACTTTATTTCTTCATCTTGACATAAAGGTAAGAATCTGGCTTATCTCCAACAATAACATAGCCAAGCTTAGGTCTAGAGCTATGAGAGGGAGCAAATGTGTCTCTCAAATATCTGATTTCCTTCTTTAACAAGGATTTGATCTTGTTGCTAATTTTCCGCCCATCAATAATCTGAGCATTGGAGGCCTTCTCAGCATCAGCTGTGAACCCCGTGTGGGGACAAGTTTTTGATGAGAAAAGTCTCAGATTTCTCTGAAACAGTTTCAATGAATGTTCTTTTGGAACTAGCAATCTTGCAAACATCTAAAAATGGCGATTCGTGAAACTAAAAGCTTGGTGAATATTAATTTAACTTGATTCAAATCTTTTTAATCTAAAAGGGGTTTTGGGGTTTTGGGGTTTTGGGGTTTTGGGGTTTTGGGG